AGGTGGGCAGGAGTGAGCTATATTTGAGGGTCAGAACGAGAGGCTGGGCCAACCTTTGCCGCTGCATTACCTGTTGTGTAGTGAAATGTGAAATTCAGGGTCCGGGTTTCATTTGGTGTCTTTTATGAGCACTGCATGTATGCTCAGTTTATAAAAGCCCCACAGTTCTTCCAAGTCCATAATTAAACTCCAAGTTTGTAATTTTTCCTTGCTATGGAAAGCCTTGCAATTGTGGCTCTTTAATTTCACCTGGGAAAGGATTATAGAGCTTTCTGATTTAATGAGCAGGTTTCATGTTAAATGTTGTCTGATTCTGAATCTCTTACCAAGGTAGAGACTGTTCCAAGAACAGAGAGTGTTAAGGATAAGGAAACTGATTTCCTTCAAGTTAGTTCCTATATGAAAAATTTAATTATGTCTAGTGAAATGATTTTTAAGAATGAGATGATTGTGTAAAATTAATTACTTGGTTTTAAAACAGCAAGATACTAAGTTAGACCTAAACAAAAACACTACTGTTTGCTTTTTACACACAGATGACTTCCGTTAAGTGTGAAATAAACTTTAAAAGGCATAAAAATAAATACAATAGACTACTTGCTAAATGAGAGCATCCTGGGGACTTGATCACTCGAGTAAGTTACGACATTGCTACACATGAATAGTAGGGACTGAACTGCAGATGGACTAGATCTTTTGGCCAGTATTGGGTTGAATGAGACTTTTGATATCTCAGCCATAATGAATGAAGTTAAATTCCTCTCCACCGTAGCTTTTTGTTGCTGTTATTTATTTTTACTTATTTATTTGAATTGTAGCTACAGTTAGAAAAGGTTTCCTGGGATTAGGAAGTGTAATTATTTAGGCAGCAAAAAGTTGTTTTAGAAATTTTACTATCATTAGGAGGAAGTTTTAAAAGGCTGGAATTCCATTGTCTTGTAAGAAGTAAGAAATATTTATTGATTCCCAAATGGAGCTGAAAAAAACCTTTCCTCTTTTAGAAAGTTGTGAATGACCCAGCGAGAGCTCTAGTAAGCTTTACTGAACCAAGCTGCTAATAGTTATTTAATGTTATTCTTCAGTGTGAAAGAATCTCCCTAGATTTTCCTTTTAATCTCTTTGAATTGCAGGCTCATAAACCTCTCTGATGAGTCCTGCCAGTGTTTTCTTAGATCCCACCGTTGAGACAAAGGAGCCACAGAATTCTTTCACCTCTTGTTGTCAGACAAATCCAATAGAACACAAGGTCAGAAGGGCCTGTACTTCTGAAGGTTGAAAGATTCTTTTCCAAGTAACCACATAAATTATTTGATTTTATCATTATATTCCACAGGAATCTCTCTTTATAATGCATTGCTTTCTATATGTAAGTAAATTTGGATCTTTTTCTTGTCTCCATATTTGGCTAAGCTTTGGATATAGCACAGGATGTGAACGGACCTACATACCTTAGAAAAGCTGAGCCCATTTACTTCAAAAGAATTAGGAATCATGTAGTGTAATTGGACTTAAGATAGAGTACCCAAATGCCACACATTGCATTTTCTTTCCAAATGGCTGGGTTTGTTTGTTTTTAAGTTATTACCATTCTGGAGCTAAGATTCCAGATTTAAATCTTGTACCTATTCCTTTAATTAAATCGCGAAGTCAGTTTATGTTTTCTCAATATTTTTAGTAGTGTCATGTTAACAAGAAAACTTTGAGATAGAATTTACATTTTCAGATACCTATTGAAATATTTCATTGTAATGAGCAAAAATATTTATAATATGTAATACTCAAAAGAAAAGGAACTTACCTACTTTGCAGATGCCATGCCTGATTAGAAGACAATTATCAAAGCTAATTACAGGGTTTCTGTGAGTTACTTTACAGGCTAGGGAGGAATTAAGTTTTCTAATTTTAACGACAATGGTGGACAAGCAGAGATCATTGTTTAAAAAGAAAAAAAAAACATTGATTTGTTTGTGCTCCTTCCTTGTAATCGTAGTTAGGGGGGAAGTTGCTGTTGCCCCATTCCCTGGACACCTGCCTCTCAACAAAGGATTGGGGTCACCTCCCCACCCCCTACATTTAGATTCACCTTTTACTTGTATGTGTACCCCTTCTGCTCATTATACAGTTCTCCAGGGATCCAATTTTCCCTGAGTTAATCACCCCCAGCCTTTTTCAGAAGTTGTTTAGATTACCGTCTTTTCAAGGAATACACACTTTCTTAGGCTTTTAACTCTTTTCCCTAACTTTTGTTTCCTTATTTCTATTAAAAAGGGTAGGTCTTGGAGTCTCAGCACACTACCTTTAAAATTTTTTGTTGAAATGTATCGTACATGCAGAGAAGCGCACCAATCCTAAGTATCCAGCTTGATGGATTTTCACAATAAACATACCCATCTAACCAGCACCCAGAAGGTCCCCTGTGCCTCCGTGTAGTCACCACTTGCCCTCACACCCAACACCACAGTGTCATGCAACAACTCAGGGCAGTTTTGCCTGTTATATTTTATATAACAGGGAATCATATAGTATGTTCTCTCTTGTGTCAGATAGGACTTTTAAAACCAGAATCCCCACAGAAACTTGGACTGTGTCCACATAATATTGAATGATTAGATCAAATAGCCACAGAACATGAGAATATTTTTTTTAATATACTTCTTTTAACTCTGACCTTGGGCAAAGTACTAACCAGTTTTCCATTGTTTTCCCTCTTATTATGAGATACCATGTAAGTTGACCTGTCAACTAAGAAATAGCTTGCTACTCTAAAGTTACTGTACATAAAGAAAAAAATTAAAATATAAAGGCCCCTTTTTTTGAGGAAGTAGAATAATAGAGAGGTCCTCCACATGAAACAGCAACTAGGTGAGCATAACAGTAGCTTCCTCGTGGAGAAGCACAGCAATATGCTGACTTCCTTGGCAGTTATCTTACATTTATTATTTTCAAATAAAAATAGCATAATGGATATATATGAATGGGTTGTCTTTTTGTGTAATTGCTGTATTGCAGGTGTCCAAGATAGGTTAGATTAAGGCTTATTCCTCTTGTCATTACCTCTGCCTTGTCTGATTTGCTTTAATTGATTTCAGACTTACTGAAGGTATCGATCAGATACCCTGGAGTATAGCCGGCTTGATTGTAAATTATTTACATCTGTTTTTCCTCTACAGTCTGTTAAGTGCCAATTACCCCCATTCCTTAATCTAAAAGTGTTTCATTTCCCCATTCAAGCAAACTTACCTTAGTCATTCTAAGCAATTGAAACATTTGATTAAGATTTTTTTTTCTCTCCATGGGACTTTTAGGGAGAATTTTTAAAAAAACTAAAATACTGAATAACCTATAACCAAGTGTGCTTTATGTAGAATGTGGGAATTGTTTTGTTCAGAGATTACCTCACATAGTGATACAGTCGGCATAAGCTATTCAGTGGGCACAGAGATGGAGGAACTCCCCCCGACCACTGGGCAGTCTTTAATCTTTGGATTTTAGGGTCAGTTTAATAGACTGTTGGTACCCAGTAAATATGAAGTGATATAATATTTGACATACTTAATAGAAAACCACAGTGAGTTCAAAATATTGTATAATTTTTTCATCTATTTTAAAATTGTGTAACACCAATAAATTTTGAACAGGCAGTTATTAAATATAATTAAATTGTAGGCATTCACACAACGGAACAAAGGAAAGCATTCTCAGCAAGTGAACAAGAGACTAGTGAGACAGCTAAAGAAAATTTCATTGGGGTGAGGGGTGGATTTTAGTAGTTTCTTTTAAGCATCGACTTCTAGAAGAATAATACAAGCATACATGAAGTATAACATGACATTAAAAACAAAGACAAGTGCTTATCTGTTGGTTGTTTTCTTTGTCCCAAAGTATACTTGTTTTAAGCAAGAGTACATGCTTCTACTACCTAAACTATACACTTACTAAATTTAGGTAGAATTCCAGGCTTCTTTGAACCTTCCACCTGCAGGGAAAACTTTGGCCTATGAAATAGCAATAGAATGTCAGCACAATACCGTTGTATCGCATGGTTATTGTTCAAAGTAATTCTAAAGTTACCTATTTCTCTGTTGCAAGCAATTAAAAATCAAATGACTAATAGCCCCTTACATTTGGTTAGAGCTTTATTCTTTAAAGTACTTTTAGACTGATCTCATTTGATTAGAACAACACACTGGTATTAGTCTGCTCTGACTGTCATAAGCAAATTCCATAGACTGGGTGGCTTAAACAACAGAAATTTATTTCTCATAGTTCTAGAGGCTGGAATTCCAGATCAAGGTGCCAGTCAGTATGGTTCCTGGTGAGGGCTCTCTTACTGGCTGTAAATGGCCTCTAGGCTGTGTCTTTGATACTTTCCTCGGTGCCTGTGCATGGAGAGAGACCCTCTCTCTTCCTCTTCTTACAAGGCCACCGATCTATCAGATTAAGACCCCACTCTTATGGTCTTATTTTACCTTTATTACCTCCTAAAAGACTTATCTCTAAATACTTCAACGTACGAATTTGGGGGGGGACACAATTCAGTCCATTAACAACCCCTCTGAAGTAGGTAAGAGCTCAGTATATCTAAGGTATATTTCTAAGGTTAGGAAGCTGGTAAAATATTACAGGTAAGGTTCAAAAACAGTTATTTTTGCCCAACTCCATGCTTCCTTCCTTAGTTACAGGTATAGTTTGTCTGACAAAAAAAAAAATCCCTATCTCTCACAAAGATAGGGGTTACTAATCACAAGGAATCACCAAAATCAATTCCATGGTTTTTGCGTGTTGAATGTTTGTGGAAAATTGGATAGATTTTGACTGCTGAAGTTCATAAGAAGTGGACCCCAAGTCAGGTAGCCTTAAACTGCTGTCAGAAGTAATAAACTCAGTTTTTAAATGGTAAGTAAATTACAGCTGTAGTCACCAGGCGGTAGTTGTCTTTTCAGCATTCTTCATGGTTATGGTTAAAGTGCTGAATAAATACCGCATTTTATATTTTACAGAAGAAGATCTAAGAAATATGGGACCAGTAGATGCTCAAGTATATCTTGAAGAAATGTGTTGGAACAAAGGTTGGGATTTTTTCTCTTGACTACAGTAAAGAAAAATATTACGGATTTTCTTTGAAAAGAAAAACTCTCATAGGATATTTGGAAATCTAAAAAAATAGTAATAGCTTGGCTTTCTAAATATATATATGTGGGTGGCTTTAGGAATATTTCTCATTCTAAACTTCCAATTTTTGATGTCCCCCATATGACTCATTTCCAGTTATTTTTCTAGTCTAATTAGATGTTAGGTATAGAAGGTTTCATAAGGTTTTCTTTTTTAAATTACTTGGGTTTGATTTACTTTCCATCTGTGTAATAGGGAAAATAAAGTTAAAGGATAATTTTTTCCATCCTTCCTATGTTGACATATGAGATGAATTCCTATTAAAATTTTTGTTTATTTTTATTTCTTTATATGGAATCATAAACTATCAGGGCAGGGCTTTTAATCTTATACTCTTATGCTTGGAGCTTGGTTTTTACCCTCCCTTTTTGATTTTATGTCAGGTGAAAAAGAAAAATTTGTCACTCCCTTTTACCTCCCATGACATCTTATCTTTTTCCCTTTTCTATACCTAAAATTTTATTTTATTATATTTTAGAGAGAGAGAAAGAGAGTGCACATGGAGGGAAAGGGACGAGCAGACTGCACTGAGCCCGACACAGGGCTTGATCTCATGACCCTGAGACCATGACCTGAGCCGAAATCAAGAGTCAGACGTTTAACCAACCGAGCCACCCAGGCGCCCTCTATTACTAGAATTTTACGACTTAAATCTAATTTCTCTACTATTCTGATAGTTTTCTGAATTGCTCTGGTTAGACACTGTTAAGTTCCTTCTTAGAACCCATGTGAATATCACATATCCATGTTTCTCTGGGAAAATGAAGAAAATCTTAGTATTTCTTAGAATTTTTATATACTTTAACCCTATAACTATTGTTAAGCCTGGAGTAAAAATTCCCTAGGGGTTTATAAAAATTGACTAATGAGTGGATAGGCAGAAGATAAACAGCCCATCCATCCATCCTGAAACCAAGTTTACTGGAATTTTTTTTTTAAAGAATTTTTTTTTAAGATTTTTTTTTTATTTATTTGACAGAGAGCGGGAGAGAGAGAGAGAGAGGACACACAAGCAGAGGGAGCAGCAGAGAGAGAGGGAGAAGCAGGCTCTCTGCTGATCAGGGAGCCCATCGTGGGGCTCAATCCCAGGACCCCGGGAACATAACCTGAGCTGAAGGCAGACGCTTAGTTGACTGAGCCACCAGGTGCCCCTGTGGCTCAGTTGGTTAAGCGTCTGCCATCGGCTCAGGTACTGAGGATCGAGCCCCGCGTAGGGCTCCCTGCTCAGGGGGGATTCTGCTTCTCCCCCTCCCCCACTCGTGTTCTCTTTCTCTCTCTCTCTCTCTCTCTCTCTCTCTCTCTCTCTCTCTCCCTCCCTCAAGTAAAATCTTAAAAAAAAAAACATTTTTAAATATTTATAAAATAAAATATTTTATAATTTAACTTAGTGCCCTTGCTCTTAGGACGGTGGGTAATAGGCTATTGACTTAAGAGGAAAATCATGTTTTTGCCTCTGGGCCACTCTGCTCCTAAACTGCCAAATGAGATTCTAGAGTATAAATTCTTATTTGCAGTGAATGATTGAGAAACTTGAGGTTTTGTGTAACTGGGGCTCCCAGGGTTTGATAATAGTTTCATCAGAGTAAACAAGAGCACTACTGCTATGAAAGTAGAATATACTGGTGACATAGGCTTTAGTGAAAGGCTTCTAGTTCATGAAGGGGACAGACTAGAACATGTCATTTATCAAGGAGACCTGTCCAACTAAATACATTTTTTGAAACTACAGTATTGCTATCTCATCAGCTAACATTGTGTGTGTTTAATCTCTTCTTAGACAAATTAGTTCTTTTTGCTGCAGCTGATTAATATATTTTGTTTCCTCATGATTCCTGATAATATGAAAATAGTCAAAACTGGTTTTGTATTTTTTCCTTCAGTAGCATTTTAAAATAAGTTTATTTTAAATTAATATGGACTGGTGGTTCAAGCATCTGTTCAGTCAACAAATACAGTGAGCTTTCTTTTTTTTTTAGATTTTATTTATTTGACAGAGAGAGCACAAGCAGGGAAAGCAGCAGGCAGAGGGAGAGGGAAAAGCAGGCTCCCTGGGATCCATTACCTGAGCTGAAGGCAGACGCTCAACTGACTGAGCCACCCAGGCGCCCCTAAGCTTTCTGATACAAGTGAATAAAACAAGATAGTGAAAGAAATGTACAACATGAAATCCTCAAGTTATAAATATGTTACTATCCTTGGAATTTCCTTAAGTAAAGGTGACAGTGAAGATATAGAACAATCCTAACCACAGCCAATGAATCAGTTACTAGAAGCTAGAGTTAATCTTAAAAATATAGGACCATCCTTAGATACTTATTTAAATTAAGGGTTTTTTATAAAGATGGAAATAATCTTTATTTTGTGAGAGAAAATACTGAGTAGCAAACAGCTGCATGAAGCCATTATTTCTGCGGGGATATTTATAAACTAATAATGTAAGTTTTGCAATTTAAAAGAGCAGTCTTGGCAGATGAAAATTCAATAAAAAGTGTGATCAGCTGGGCAAATAAAAAATTGTTTGACGATTCCTTCCTGGCCATTTTCAGAATAACCTTGGAAAGTGAAGATCCAGAGCAGGAGAAAAGTGGATGAAACCCTACATGATAGACGTAGCCAAATTACCATATTCTTGAGCTAAGGACAGTATGAAACAATGCGTTTTATTACGCTTAAAAGCCATCCCTGAAGAACTGTTGAGAGTGGTTAACCTTTCCCCTTAGGGTTAGTCTGTTTTACAACTTGGTTATTTTGTCTTCAGTGTATTTAAAATGATTTCTGTGAAGATATCACTTTGTTGAGTCATAGAATAATATAAGAAGAAATGTAACAAGATGTGAATTTTTAGTGAGCATTAACATTTGGAATCATCTATGACAAAATTCCACAGTAGCCCATGGTGGCCTCTGCATCATTTACTGAGCACCTGTCACCTCAAATTGTTTCTCAGTGTTCACTGAGATGGTAAAAAAACAAGAGGGACATTTAGCTTAAGAAAACCAATGGTTAGAATATGTACATTTTTAGACAATTTAATAATGAAACAATTCACTTTTGAAATTGGCTCAGACAGGGAAGCTATTACCATTTTAAAATTCCAAGATTAAATTATTTTTCTTTATGGACAAAAAAGGCATTGTGGTGAAAAATAAAAAGGAGGATTAGGTGAATGAATTCATGTTTTCCTTACTGGTAAAAGAAACATGTAAAGTTGGCTTATTTGTTAATTTTTCCAGGGCCATATTTGATTAGAGAACAAATACAAGGCAGTTGAATTTTTTCTTTTCTTTTTTTCTATTAGTGGCATATGATGAGATCTGAGTGTTAAGGAATAAAGTTTGAGAATTGAATGAAGTTATTTGATGTACCTCTAATAAATTCTGACTTTGTACAGTAAGGTGATCAGTAATTATTTTTCTTACAGTCACTTCTCAGTGACATTGAAGTGGAATGACCAGTGGATCAGATTCTTTCAGTTAAAGGACATGAGCATTTCAGGTTCCCTAGAAGATGGTAGACTTAATAAAATTTCCACCATTAATAGGCTAAATGTTGTGCCGTATCGCCTCTGTTGGGCACCTCACTTCACAGAAATAGTGATACTGGAACAGAGTATCTAAATGTTGAACTTGATAAACAGTTAAGTTAGCAGGGTGCCTGGTTGGCTCAGTTGGTTAAGCGTCTGCCATTGGCTCAGGTACTGAGATCGAGCCCCGCATAGGGCTCCCTGCTCAGGGGGGATTCTCCTTCTCCCCCTACCCCACTCGTGTTCTCTCTCTCAAGTAAAATCTTAAAAAAAACACAAAACAGTTAAGTTAGAGTCTTCTCTAAAAGAACATATTCCAGGCAAAAGCATGTTGCTCTACAGTAAAACATGGAGAGCTATGTCTCTTCCCTTCACAGTAGTATTTTTGACCGATATATTATTGAGAGGAATGTAAAATTTATATGGATCTTAAGAAAACAGAAGACTTCAAATAAATGTCCTGGGTCGCTTCTGAGCATCTGCTCTCCCTGCAAGATCTCTGGCTATTGATTTGTAGCTTTAGCCCTCTACAGATCTCTACAGATCAAGATTTTTTGGTAGATAATTTTTAGAAATACTGCCCCATACAAGAATTTGTTTCAAGTTTTCATTTAAGTATGTTTTATACTTGATGTTTTGCAATTTCTATGAGATAAACTGCATTTTTAAAAAAGTTGTTGAAATAGTTATTTACAAGCATCTGAGGCATTATTTTTGTTTGTTTTTTTACAGATGATCACTCTTTTTCTCTGAGTTGCCGATGTGGTGGAAAATACAGTGTTTCTAAGGATGAAGCAGAAGAAGTTACCCTGATTTCTTGTGATACATGTTCACTAATTATAGAACTCCTTCATTATGGCTGAAATTGTTCACCAAGTGGGATCCTTTAACTGTGTATTCAGACATGTTGAAGAAAGCCAATTCAAGTAAATGTATAAAGCTGATAAAAATAAGTAGGATTCTTTTTTTGGTCAGCTTTTATTTGCAGAGAAAGTATAAGACTGTCAAGCAAGGGCCACCTCAGATTAATAGAAAATTAATTTAGTTACTTATATGTATTCATATTTTATATTTATAGATCACCAAAAAAAAAAGGACTTGAATTATAAGTTATATTTTGTGAATTCCCATCTGAGAGCTTTGTTATTTGGTCCATTTTTCCTTGGTATAAGAATTTTCCTTTTCTTTAAGCATGTCTCCTCTTATAATGGGTCACAGTATCATCATGTTCCTTTATAGTTACTGAGTTTCTGAAGTAACATGACATTTCTAGCTGCTGAAGTTACAGGCCTATTGTACAAGTATCTCAAAGTCTCAAGTCACTAGAATTAAATTATAATCTTTGTGAATAACATGTGAGCCTAGTACTCCCATAATGAGGGCTGGATATGGATATTCATGAAGTTAGTTCAAAGTTAATAAAGAAGGTGAAGTGGCAACTGTAGAAAGGATAGCTTTGGAGTGAAAAGACTTGACTCCAGTCCTGACACTGTATTTCCAGACTCTTTGTGTGGCTAAATTAAAGGGAATAAAGCTTGAACAATGCCATCTTCAACTTTAAATGTAACTTAGGAAATGGTAGTTTTAAAAAAAAAATAATAATTTGAAACAGATCCATTATTTTCCTTTTTATGTCAAAGTACTAAGTATTAATTCCTATATTTATGAATAAGGAACCATACTGCATTGCTGGTATGATCAATTGGACTTTTATAATGTTATTATTGATTATAATAGACTTTAAAGATTTTGTTTTTCTGTATATTTGATACTTTATGTACAGTATAAGTCAGGACTCATTTAAAAAAAATTGAGGAATCCTTTATGGGATCGCTGGAACTTTATTACTTAATTTCAAATGAGTGAACCAAGCATGTGCCATAGCAGCTTTTTATTAGGTTGAACCCATGGTATTTATTATTGGTTTGTACTTAAAAGACTAGTTACTGCTCTGATGTGTAAATGTAGCAAAAGTATGAGGCATATTCAAGAAAAGATTACTTTCGTTATAGCTATAAAACCAAAAATTCAGAAGTGAGGTTGTCATCCAGATTTTTTCCCTAAAAATATTTTTGTATCTTTCATAAAATTTAGATGACTTACTTTGGATTACATTTTTATCCATATATTTGGAACTAATAGAGCTTGCAGTATGTGTCATTTATTATTTACATATAATAATTACAAATGATTAAAACTAAGTAGCAAATAGTTTATTAGTAAGTACATGGTTTCAGTGGCAATAACAAATTCACTTGGGGAGAAAAATCAAAACAATAAATGCTTGCTAATCGTCAGAAAATCTGTGGCCATTAGGGCTGTCACGTAGAAATCCAAAATCACTCAAAGGCCAAATCTGTAAAATTAAAATGTGATTGAAGACAGTTATTCAAAGTGTTCTATCATTATATTCTTTTATTCATCCCTTTTCTTTGTGCCATATAAACACTTTCTCCTTATTTTTCATCAAGAACAAATTCTCTATACCAAAATAAGACTTTAGAAAGTAAACTTGTATGTGCATATGTATTTAAACTCTAAAGTTTGGAATGCTGATATGTTATACAAGAAATTATGTGTATGGTATGTGAATATATATGTATGAATATGTGTGTGTGTGTTTTCTTTTACTACCCTCAAAGTTAACTGTAAGCCTATGTATTTAAATATAACCTCTGCATAAGTATAAAGAATCCTGCAGATTATCCAATAGCCCAAGTATTCATGTGTTTTTCTTCTTAGTGCTGTGGCAAAAAGGAGGACCCAGTGAAAATAATCATCTTTCCTAAGAGTTCTACATTTACTGTAACCACGGTAAGTCAATGTACTTAACTGGGATATCCCCACTTAACAGTGTGGTTTGACTACACTGCTCTTCTGCAAATGCATATTTATTTCCAAGATACGAATATAGTTGTACAAGTTGTATGAGAAAGAATTACATTCTGGAGTGTTTAAACTAAGGGCTCCTTATAGCTAAGGTAGTTTGGACTTTATTATTCAAACAAAAAATTACTCTTAATTACCTATCTCAGTGGTGAAAAAGGTAATGTTTATAGCTATGAAGGCCAACAAGTTCCTAAAATGTAGTCGCTGCAACAGTTAAGTCCACTGACAGCCTGAATATTTCAAAGTTCATTTTGAAATTTTTTTTTCCAGCTCAGAGAAGAAAACCTACATTTTAAGCAGAAAATAATACCTTGAAAAAGATACGTCCTCTTATTAGTCCATATGGAATAGGTCCATAATACCTGGAATCTGTAGAATTCTGTAGATTATCACCTTCTAACCAAACATGACCTGTTGGCACCTAGAATTAGAGAAGAAAGCAGCCCCTTTAAAAAAAACAAAAACAAAAATTTGGGTACTATAAATAAAAAGCATGTCTTTTGGTAGTAGGGAGAAATGTCCTACTAAAGTTCTTGTTTATAAAACACAAACCCTATGATTTGTATTTTTGCTTTTATTTCTTGCACAATAAAATATTTTACTAAATATTAGTAAGTAATGTTAAGATTTCATCATTTTAAAAGACCTATCTTTTTTGCCACATGGTTCCCAAACATTAATTTGTTACACAAACCCCAAACTGAGGTTATAAGAGATCAAAACAATGTGACAGGGTCATTAATTTAATAGACTTCAAAAGAGGTCATTAGGATGCTGACTGAAAATGTGCCCTCCTGTCTCTGGAACAGCAGAAGCAGGGCAGCCACTCACTCAGCAACATCCTGGGGCCAGTACCACGGCCAGACCTATTAGAGTGCTCATGATGAACTAAATGGTAATTGATTGTGACATCAATTACAAATAATCTCATCATTTTATTGGAGTGGGCTTGTCAGAATTCTAATTAAGATCCCTGTTCTGCCTTTGTACAGGCAATATCTTCAATGCATTATACTTCAATAATGACCATCAGGAACTAGAAGGACCTATTATAAAACCATCAGTTGTAAAATTAATGATGGTGACCTTCTACTGAATGAAAGACCCTATCTCCTATATTGTCCTATGTATTAACTGGTAAATAACATAAGTTTACATTTTTACTCAATGTCAACCATAAGAATATTTAGAACGTTACCTTAAAAAAAATGCGCTCTGTGATATGAAACATTTGCCCATTAATCTATTCTGTATAAACTTAAAAAATTACCTGCAGCAGTAATCCTTAAAGTAGCATTTTACAAGTTATTTTATAGTCTTTGTTACCCAAGAAAGTTGAATTATTGACCAGACCAAGATGATTTACTGGGAAGGAATTTATTTTCACTTTTCTTTTTGACTGGCTGTTTATTACTTGGGTACCTTATGTGAAGAAAAATACTCCTACTGGGTTAAATAAGAAATGACTGCAATTTTACAAAATGTTACAAATTACTGCTTTTAAAAGACTTTTTTAGAGCAGTTTTAGGTTCACAGCACGATCAAGAGGAAGGTACAGAGATTTCTCAACCATCTCCTGTCTCCACGCATGCACAGACTTCCCCACTATTGACATCCCCTACCACAGCGGTGTGTGAACACACATCAACATCATAATCACCTGAGGACCAGAGTTAACTTAGGGTTCACTCTTTGTGCTGTACATTCTATGGGTTTGGACAAATGTATGACATGTATCCATCATTATAGTATCAGAGAGTATTTCCATTGTCCTAAAAACCCTGTGTGAGCCGCCTATTATTCATGTCTCCCCCACCCCCCATCTCCCATATTACCTTTTGGAAAAATAAATGTATACAAGCATGTAAAATCTGAATTTCACTTTACATCAGAGCTTATATAATTTTGGAATGTCTTATGTAGAAATATTTGTCCAAAACAAGTTAATTATTTTCATTTACATACACTTAAATGTTAACTCTATTTGTAGATACTCTTTCCTGAAAGAGTATCAGATGCTATAAGATCACTTTTTTCCCCCCACTATTAGTGGAACTAAGTTACAGGTTCTAGGGCCAAAAGCAAGACTAATTCCTATCTGTATAAGTGGATTTATGTACAGTCAACCTTATTGTTCAGGTAGAAAAATGAATCCATCTCAGGTCACAGATAAAAAAATAGTGTATTTGGAAAAGCCATGTGTCATTAACATAGTCTCAAGTGCTACTATGGGAGAAGCTATAATATGGACATTTTTTATGTTTAAATTTCCATAGTTTCTCCTTAATATGTGTTTATTTCTGAGTTCTAAAAAATACGTAATAAACCAAGATCCAATATACATTCCATTTCTTCATGAAGCTCTCCCCAATCTTGCCTGCCCATACCAAATACTCTTGATGGTTTAGAGCACTTACTATATAAAGTCTGCCTTGCCTGGGTCCCTGGATTATAACATCTTACTAAACTGCTTGGCTTTTGTATAAGTCTATTATTTTATGACCAAATAAGCCAATAGACCGTAATCGTGTCATGATCTTAATTCTTTACAACACCTAAGTCAAAACTGGAACTCTGATAGCTGGTGGTATTTATTATTAATGTAAGTATAAATTCTTATAAAGCACAATCACTTTTGTCTGATTTTTGAATTCTTCCAAATTAGCGAAATAAAGTGATGAAGTGTTATCTCTGGTATAATAAAATTAACCAGTACAGAACGGAATCTGGAACATATTACCAGAAGCCTTTGGAAGAGTGTGACTCAAGCTATCTTGACCTAGTCCTTGATTGCAACAGGTGGAACATAAAGGAGGAAACAGTAGTGCAAGCCAGTGTATATACATGGCGTTCTGATTAAAAAAAAAAAAAACAACACTCATTTGATCCTTAAAACTGTGAAGTATTATTATTGATAGTTAACAGAAGTAGGTTCAAATATGGGGCATGCTAATTCCCATTTATCTGAAGCCTATACATTCTAATACCCATGCATCCATTTATAGTAAAGGAAATATCCTCTACCTCTCAGACTTGGTGCTTGATAGTACACAAATCAAGGAAACAGCCTCATCATCAATGGGACCTTTAATAAGAGCTTCTCTATAAACAGGAAAACCTCAAGTTGGATCTTTTAAATCAAAGCAGTCACTTTTGCTGACCTACCTGTCAATTACTCAGTGTCCAGTAAAAAATACATGATGATGAAATTATTCCGCTTATTTTTGGTATAGAGTAAGAGTGTACACTTTAAAAATCAGTTTTTTAGAGGTATACTTTATATAGTGTAAAAAGCACTCATTTCAAGTTTGACACTAGTTTTGGAAATGTGCATACCTACATAACTGCTAATTACAATCAAGATGTAGAACATTTTCATCATCCAAAAAGTTCCCTCCTATGCCAGTCAACCTCCCATCCCTATACCTGGTACCAGGCAACTAGTGAGATCTGTTACTAGAAACTAGTTTTACCTGCTCGTAAATTTAATATAAGTAAGATTGTACTATACATATTTATTTTGTGTCTGGCTTTTGTTCATTTTTTTATGATTAATCCAGTTGTATGTATTAATCATTCATCCCTTTTTATTTCTAAGTAGTATTCTATTGTAAATTACAATGTTTGCCCATGAATCTGTTGATGGTTATCTTTCTTTGCAGTTTGGGGCTGTTAAGAATAAAGCACTCTAAACATTAATATGTAAGTTCATTTCTTTTCAGTAAATACCAAGGGGTAAAATTTCTAGGCCATAAGTATATGCCTACCCTTAAACTTTTCCAAAATAATTAAATCATTTTTATACTCGCAGCAGAAATGTATGAGTATTCCTGTTGCTCCACAACCTTGGTATTTTCCTTTTTAAAAAATTTCTGCACTTCTAGTAAACTGTTGGTGTCACATTGTGGTTTTCATTTGCAGTTCTCTGATGAACATTTTTTTTCTTGTGCTTATTGTATCTTTTGTGAAGTGTCTATTAAAATATTTTTCCTTATTTTTAAAATGGGTTGTTTTCTTACTCATTTTAAGAATCCTTTATTTACCTTGAGTATAAGTCCTGTGACAGGTATTACAAATATTTCCTCCTAGCCTGGGTCTTTTTTTATTTTTTATTTATTTATTTTTTTTTTTTGCCATTTCTAATCTATTGTAAAGCTATACAATGTTTTCTAAGTTCTGTATATTCACTTGGTTCTTTTTGATATTTACCATTTCTTTCCTCATTATGTTCATCCTTGAGATCCTTGAAAATATTTAGAATTGGTGTTTTAAAGCATGTGTCTGTTAATTCCATTACTTCTGTTATTTCTGGATCTATTTAATTGATTTTTCTTCTGGTTATGGATTACACTTTATTTTTTCACATATCTTGTAGTTTGTGACTGAGCTGGACATTGATTTGTTGAGTGGATTCTGTTTTTACAGCGGGCTGAATGTTGAGGAGGTCTCCCTGTTTTGGGGGAGGCAGGTAAGGTAGCTGTGGATCAGCTTATTCCTCTCAAGCCTTGTTTTTAAAGCTTGTCAGGTTGGGTGTATCTCACACTGTACTCTTAGGGCTACTTTAGGCGTACTACTAAGTAAGGCATGATATTCAGGGATCTTTACGGAATGTGCAGGATATTCAATAAGATCTGTCCACTCTGGCTGGTCAGAACTCCAGTGGCTCTCAGCCCTGTGTGAGCTCTGGGAATTGCTCAGCTCCCCAGGCATTCTTTGCTCGGTCTCTACGTTTCACTGTAAGCAGGCACAATTTAGTATTCAGCTCAAAAGCCAAGAGAACACCTAAGGAGATTTACGGTGATCATTTGGTAGCTCTGTTTTCACAGGTAGTCTGATCCATAAGTTCCAACCACTTAAACTTCCCCTCTATACCAATCTGTCTTCAACTCAGCAAAACCCCTATGCTTTGGCTTGAATTTTACCTCAGTACCTTGTGAAATACCTGACTCACAGCAGGAGTCGGGGCAAGTATAGGGCTTCCCTTGTCTACCCTCATTTTAGGGATCTGTCCCATACTTCCTGCTATGCATTCTCTGAGAACAGCTGTTTTACATTTTTGTCCAATTTTCTAGTTCTCTATGGCAGGATGGCAAGTTCAGCATCAGTTACATCATCATTACTAGAAACAAATGTTCAAATTATCTAATTTTTTCAAGTCTTTATTATTTTTCTTAGCATACCTCATAACAATATGAAGAGAATCCTTGTGGTAAAAACTGAAAGTTTTTGATGTAAGGTAAAGTGTGCCTTTGGTATCTCTCTTTACCTTGAGTCCCTTTCAGTTGCATCCCCTGCATGTTTTTGTTCTACCCTTTCTCTATCAAAACCTCTAGAAAAGATCTGCCAAACTCAGCATGCAATTATGTCTAAATAAGGAAGTTCACTGTGGTATTGCTTGTATCTCAAAATTGGCAAAAGTATAACTATTCCTCAGTAGGTGCAGATCAAATAAAATATGGTTCATTTATATAATAGTAGACAGCTGGTTAAAAAAACTAGTAGATTTACATGAATACCATCAGTGAAAAAAGTTGCACGGCAATATGTATAAATGTTTAAAAGAAATCCACAAAAACATATATTTCAAAATTTACATTTTTATGACCAGTATATACTTAGAAAATTTAAAAATGTATATAAACCTCAACTTACCATGCAGTTATGTCCCGATTAACCCATCATATGTTGAAAATGCAGTTGACCCTTGAACACAGGGGTTGGGGTGCTGATCCCCCACCCTCCGACGCCAAGTCAAAAATTCCCATATAACTTCTGCCTCCCCCAAAACTTAACTATTAATAATGTGTTGACAAGAAGCCTTACTGAGGACATAAACAGTTGATTAACACATATTTTATATGTATTATATACATATTCTTAAATAAAATAAGCTAGAGAGAAAAATTCAGAAAAATCATAATGATGAGAAAATACATTCACAGTACTATAGTATAAAAAATCCACATGTACATGGACTCATGCAGTTCAAACCCCTGTTGCTCACAGGTTGACTGTATTTTAAGTCAAAAATGCATTTGATATACCTAACCAACCGGCCATCATAGCTTAGCCTAGTCCACATTAAATGTGCTTATTACAACACTCACATTAGCCTACACTTGAGCAAAATCATCTAACACAAGCCTATTTTATAATAAAGTGTAGAATATCTCAAGTAATTTATTGAATACTGTACTGAAAGTGAAAAACAGAATGGCTATATGGGTACAGGATGGTTGGCTGTAAATGGTCACATTACCCTCTTGATGGCATGGGTGACTAGAAGCCATAGCTCACTTGCTGCTTCCCAGCAACACGAGAGTATCATACTGCATATCAGCTCAGGAAAAGATCAAAATTCAAATTCTGAAGTACAGTTTTTACTGAATATGTATCGCTTTTCAGCACAATAAAGTAAAAAAAATCTTAAGTCAAACCATCATAAATTAGGGTCTGTCTGTATGTACACACACACACACGTTATCTTAATGTGGCTATCCTTTTCAAGTGATACTTGTACTTTAAAAAAAAAAATGGTCCATCACGATACAGGTTAGGAAGAGCTTTGTTGAATTAATTTTTTTTTTTTTAACCTTTGGTAGTGTGGAAAGAGAAAGATCTAACTTCCAATCTAGATAGAAGGTTTGTTTTTTTGTATACTATAAGTAAATGACTGCAATTAGCAGTATTGTCACCAGATCTCTGGATAACTAAAATATTTGTCTAGCTAAGAACTCATTTCTTTAAATAAACATAAACACATTTCTGGTATGGGTCTGAAATTCAAAACCTGACCTTTCTGGTACAGACAGGCAAAAAACAGAACAAAAATTTCCTTTCTTACTCAAAATGCAGTTATTGTCTCTGGGATTAAACTACTGATTATCACTGAATTGAAAAGTCAAACCAGAGGGAAAAAATTCTATAGCAATATTATAATATTAATAGATTAAATGGTAGTTTAAAATGTAGACTCCAATAAACTCATTTGTAATAAATGTCTGCAAATTACAAAAAATGGAATCCCTAATTCTGTGCCTTTGTTACTTCTCATAACCAAAACTTTAAATGGTTAGATTACTTTTTCTACCTTTGTCAATCTGTCATGCCAAACTTGAATGAATCTGTGAAACTGAGTAAGAATATATGAATATGTTTATAATGAATACCACATAGAAATTTTTACTTTGGTTCTAATCTGAATTTTCCCAGGGTCTCAGAACTTACTCTAAGGGCTAAATTTTAAAGCATTAAAAGAACCCTTAAATCATTCTTGTTTCTCCTTTCTACGTCAGAGGGTTTACTTCCTGATGTATGATAATACCTAATCTCAGGGCTGGACAAAAGAATCAAGCCTCTAGTTCTTAACTATACTTAACAGAGGTCTAGTTAAGTGCCTTCTTTATAGTACAAGCAACACATGTAATTGCCTCATGGCCTGCGGGTGTCCATTTAACAAAAGAGGCTTTGTGAACCAACCCACAGGTGTTACTTTTCTCGATTCAAGTGAAATCTGATTCAAGAGTCCACAATATCAGATAACACATTTACTAAACTGCAATCAAACTCATTTATTTAAGCAAAAAATACCTAAAGAAAAAGTCCGACTGAAGAATAAGATATTTGTATGTCTGACCTTTCAAAAATTTCAAAAAACAAAATTCTAATAGGTTTTTTTAATGAACCCTTTCTTTGCCAGGTATTTTATAATTTACAACCGACAAAGGTAGGGTATAAAGCCAAGGAGAGGGGAAAAGTTTTTGGAATCTTTTTTTTTTTTAAGATTTATTTATTTATTTATTTGACAGAAAGAGAGAGAGAGAGAGAGGGAGAGAGAGCAGAGGGAGAGGGAGAAGCAGGCCCACCGAGTAG